TTCCCCAAACTGTACTTCCTGTCTCAGCGTGTCTGCCTTTTTCCACTTTACCGGAAAGGGTGCAAGCGAAGAAAATGTGGTTGATTTTATTTTATTTTGTGTTTTTTCCCGCCCCCATAGATCGACTTGGGCTCCCAGAAGCAGGTGACCGGCATCATCACGCAGGGGGCCCGAGACTTCGGCAACATCCAGTACGTGGCGGCTTACAAGGTGGCCCACAGTAACGATGGCGTGAAATGGACCGAGTATAAGGACTCGGGGGCCGAGGGCAGCAAGGTGAGTGTCAGCCGCCCGCCCCTCGCCACTCCACGGTGCGGTGCCCTGCGAGTTGGGCCTCTGGGGCTCTGAGGGGGAGGGGGGCCACCCCTGGGGGACCTCTGAGGGGAGGGGGGCCAGCCCGGTGGCCTTCCTGACACCTTCTCTGTCTCTAGATCTTCCCAGGCAACTTTGACAATAATTCCCACAAGAGGAACGTGTTTGAGACGCCCTTCATGGCTCGTTTTGTGCGTATCCTGCCCGTGGCCTGGCACAACCGCATCACCCTCCGCGTGGAGCTGCTGGGATGCTCGTAGGTCCGGCTGATGGGACCGGATGGCCTGTTCTCCTGACCTTTTGTGGTCCTGCTGCCTCCTCCACCCACCGCCCGCCTGATTGTAGTGCCGTGGGGGGCGGGGAGAGGGGGGGAAGATGTCAGTCACCTCTCCCTCCCTCTGTCCTCCTCACACCTCACCTCCCACACGCCCGCCCCACCTCCCACCTGCCCCTGGCGCCCAGCCCTCATGCCAGGTGAGCCCCAGGCAATTCCTGGCCCGGCCAGGACTCCCTTTTCTACACTTGATCTTGCCAAAAGGCCGAGAGCCAACCCATGCCATGTTCTTAGGCGGTGTGGGAGTTGAGTAGGTCTGGGATTCCAGCCTCTGTCGCCAATAGCCCGCCTCCCACCCCCCACATTCCCATGGCCCTGGAGGAAGGGCCCCGAGGCGCCAGGCTGGAGCTAACGGACGCCTGCTGGAGCCATGATGCTGCCATTCCCGATGCCGCCACCCAGCCCTCTGACACTCCCACCCACCTCCCTGGAGACCCCTCTTGACCCTTGAGCTGTAGCCTAGAAAGACAGCAGGGGGTGGGGTGGGTCCATGGACAGACGGGGAGGAGGTGGGCGGGCCTGGGCGGCCCCCCCGAATGCACAGGCAACTTCCAAAATATATTTATGTCACTGCCTGGAGCTCTTGCTGCGTGGTTCTTCGTCCTCGTGCTGGTCCCCACCCTCAGCCTCCGTTTCCCCAGAGCCTCAGCGTGCTCCCCACCTGCCCGACTCCACGCCGCTTTCCAGCCGGAGGAAGGAGGAGGCTGCTGGGGACCCACAGGGGACCCGGATGCTGCCAAGTGGGCACAGGGCCTCCTGGCTGAGCGCACTGGTTTCGGGGAGGCGCTGGCGCATTGGCTCCCTGGGCAGGGGCCATCAGGAAGTGGCCGGTGGGGGCAGCGCAGGCCAGCGCCTGGTGATCTGGGAAAGGGGCCGGCCACAGAGGGAGGGAGGGACCGGGCTGGCTGGAAACGGGGCTGATGAAACCACCCTAGTGTTGGAGGCCTCGGGGCACAGGAGGAATTTTCCAGCACAAAATCGGGGAGCCAGGCTGCCATCCACAGAGGAGGCGCCTCGCCCCTGGGCGGCAGGTCTGGCCACGGGGCTGGCAGAGGGAGGGAGGGTGTGGCTGTGCTGGGGCCTCACCAGGGAAATTCGTCTGGAAGTGGCTCCTTAGAACTGGCCTCGTGAGGGCTCGTTGGCTGGGCAGGGACAGAATAAGGGGCACAGGCCGAGGGCTCCAGATGAACGGGGGTTGTGGGGCTCCCCTCTGCTGGGGGTCCCCTGGCCCACCCACTCCTTCCTGTGTCACTCTCGGATTGGGTTTGGGGCCATTGATTTCAGAGAAGAGGGAGGGGGAGAGAGACAAACATCAATGATGAGAAAGAATCATGGATGGGCTGCCTCCTGCACCGCCCCCCTACTGGGGATCGAGCCCACAACCCGGGGAACATGCCCTGACCAGGAA